AGGGTTCTTTATCACTGAGTCACCTGAGAAGGTCTATAGCAGGGCCCTGACTGGTATTTCACATAACCAGCATGACTGTCCTGTACAAAGTGACAGTATTCACTTCCTTGTCTTACGGGAAATCCTTTATGCTACGTAACGTGCAAGTATATAGCATGTATTTAAGTAGTTTCAGCATTTCTTCTTCAGCTGCGGAAAGACAGCAATTGTACAGTCAGGACGATTCTGGGCAAGATAGGAGAGTGTGAGGATAAATGACATGACATGTGTAAGGTTGTGATACAGAACGCAAACGCTGTCTCTTCAGAAAGTGCTGAGAGCTACCCTGCGTCTTTCCTTCCTTCTTCTGGGACAGAAGAGTTAGCTCAGGAAATTTGCTCTCAATTTCCAGTTCCTTTCTGTTACTCTGGGACACGTCTCCTTCCCCTTATCACACGTCATTCCTTATTTATTTTTTGTTGTTCAGTCACTAAGTCGTGTCTGACTCTCTGTGACCCCATGGACTGCAGCCAGGCCTCCCTGTCCGTCACCAACTCCTGGAGCTTGCTCAAACTCATGTCCATCAAGTAGGTGATGCCATCCAGCCATCTCACCCTCTGTCGTCCCCTTCTCCTCCTGCCTTCAATCTTTCCCGGCATCAGGGTCTTTTCCAATGAGTCAGTTCTTTGCATCGGGTGGCCAAAGGATTGGAGTTTCAGCTTCAGCATCAGTCCTTCCAATGAACACCCAGGACTGATTTCCTTTAGGATGGACTGGTTGGATCGCCTTGCAGTTCAAGGGACTCTCGAGAGTCTTCTCCAACTACGTAGTTCAAAAGCACTGATTCTTTGGCACTCAGCTTTCTTTATGTTCCAACTCTCACATCCATGCATGACTACTGGAAAAACCATAGCTCTGACTAGATGGACCTTTGTCAGCAAAGTAATGTCTCTGCTTTTTAAATGCTGTCTAGGTTTGTCATAGCTTTTCTTCCAAGGAAAAAGTGTCTTTCAATTTCATGGCTGAAGTCACCATGCACAGTGATTTTGGAGCCCAAGAAAACAAAGTCTGTCACCGTTTCCATTGTTTCCCCATCTATTCGCCATGGAGTACCTTCTTTATTCATTTATTCCATATTGATTCTTTCCCCAAAATGTGGATTATTCCTTACTATGGTGAAATCCACAGAAAAAATGTGAATGTTGTGTTACTCTGTGGTCAAAGTGGAGAGAGATTTGGGTTCCTCACATATTGGTTTAGAGTTTGATCATGATTGGATGGCATCATTGATTCAATGGACATGAATTTGAGCAAACTCTGGGACATGGTGAAGGACAGGGAAGCCTGGCGTGCTGCGGTCCATGGGGTCGCAAAGAGTCGGGCACGACTGAGTGACTGAATAACATCAACAACGATTGTGGGAGGAGACCCGAGAAACTGCTCCACACTCTTCAGTGAGCAACTATCGTGGGAGGAGCCCAGAGGTACTGCTCCACGCTCTGCAATGCGCGGGACAACCCGCACAGCAGGGTTCTCTGGTCCTAAATGCTAACAGTGGGCTGGGCTGAGGAACCTGTGCCAGAGAGCAGCGGGTTATCAAGTGGACCAGTTTTCTGAGAAACATCTAAAGGAGACTTTGAGAAGAGAAGAGAAAAACAGTGACCATTTAAGAAGCTTAAAGGAAAGGTAGAGAGGACCTGTAAGTCCACTGTAACGCAGACTTAAGAATGCGACTCGAGGGGACTTCCCTGGCGGCCCAGTGTCTAAGACCCTGTCCTCCCAGTGCAGAGGGGTCGGGGCCTGGGTTTGATCCCTGGTCCGGGAAGTAGGTCCCTCAGGCTGCCTCTAAGAGTTAGCATGCCACAACTAAATATCCCGCACAACGATCGAACATTCCGTGCGCCGCAAGGAAAGATTCCACATGCCACAGTGCAGGTCGAAGCTTCCGAGTGCTGCAACTAAGACACAGCACGGCCAAATAAATAACACAAAGGCAAAAGATACAAAAGCAACTCTAAAAAGAGAAAACGACAGGATGATCGGCTTCATCGCCTGTATTCCCTCTTATGAAATCGTGTTCTAATGACGAGACTCTGGACACAGAAAAGATGCATATTCTGCCTTCTCCTCTTGATGAGACCAGACAGATTCCCTCTTGGGGAGTAAACTTTATCACCCAGATGAAAGGAGCAGACGGAGGACAAATCACCTCTTTCTTTGTGGGAAGAGGTGGGTCTCACAAGATGGACGCACTTCGACGTAATTGCCCTCTTGCTAAAGGGGGTGCGACAGTATAATTCAAGGCAATCCATCACCTCCAATGGGACTGTCCAGTCTCATATGGAGAAAGTCGCTGACACGTCTTTTAATGATGCCCAGACCCATGGCTTAGTTGCTTTCTGAAAGCGAATGTCTCCCAGAAACCCAGCACCAGTTTGTTTTAAATGCTTACAATACAAGCAAACGCTCTTTCATGGTACTTTGTATCATATTCTCCTTTGTTTTAATGCAACATGGTGTTTTAGCATCTGAGAACTGGATCACGTCTGGGGAAAATCTAACACTGTATATACATGCCCAGTCTTGCCTGGCTCTTTGTAACCCCATGGACTATAGCCCGCCAGGCTCCTCTGTCCTTGGGATTCTCCAGGCAAGGATACTGGAGTGGGTTGCCTTGCCCTCCTCCAGGGGATCTTCCCGACACAGAGATGGAACCCACATCTCCCGAGTCGCCTGCATTGACAGGTAGGTTCTTTACCACTATGCCTCCTGGGAAGCTCACTGTGTATACAATAGTTTTGCATACAGTGAGCACACATTGTAAATACAATTTGTATGCAATGTATACAGTGCTTTTGACATTTGTCCCTGGTGACAGTGGAGACAGCCACGGTGTGTACATTTGGGAGAAAGCGGAACGGTGAAGACTAATCGGTAAAACTTTTAAGCAAAAATAATGACGTTATTATTTCTGTTCCCTGAAATACCATTGTTCGCAGTATCCGTGAGGTTTAAAAACTCACTGTTGAAACATGCGGGCATTTTCATGGAAGTTCTAGAGAGTTAGGGGTGTTTTAGAATCAGTTATGACTTTAAGGAGGAAAAATAATTCACGTTGAGCAATAAAAAGAAAGCTATCCACTATTTAGAACTGACACTCTGTTTGGAAGAATGCTGTCTCATTTAAGCTTGCTTCTTCCTGGGATCAAGAACCCTTTTCCTTTGTGGAAATAGCTAAACTTTTTCTGTTACCTGGTTGGTATCAAGCTTCTCTGGCTCTGATCATCAGGGTCTCTTTTTGCGTGAGCATGCTTTAACACAGAAATAAAGATTCACGTTGGGAAGGGACCCATGGGGCTTTATTCCTTCCCTTATCCACACTGGATAACTCCTTGCCATATCAGAGGGTGAAACAGTGTCTGTAGGAACGCGCGAGGGACACCATTCTTTCAAAACTGCTGTTTCAGAGAGAGACAGCAAGCCTCTTTCCAGACCAGTTTCTACGGAGACTTTCGAAGAAATCCAACACCAAAATGAATATTCATATGCGAGTAGAAATATCCATACTTGACAAAAGTACAAATTGGGGCTTCCCTCGTGGCTCAGGTGGTTAAAGAATCCGCCTGCGATGCTGGAGACCCGGGTTCGGTCCCCGGGTCGGGAAGATCCCCTAGAGGAGGAAATGGCAACCCACTCCTGCATTCTTGCCTGGAGAATCCCATGGACAGAGGAGTCTGGTGGGCTACAGTCCGTGGGGTCACAGAGAGTCGGACACGATTAAACCACCACCAGCATGCATTAATTCAAAGTTAGGCGAACTCATTTAAAAAATTTGAAAAAATGCAGGTAACTTGGAGAAAATAAAAATTCTCTCACCACCTAGGTAAAATAACTGCTGTTATTTTATACTGTTCTACTTCTTTCTCTTTTCCTTTTTTGACTTCTTCTCTTTTTTATGCCATGTGGCTTGAGGGTTTTTAGTTCTGTGACCAGGAACTGAACACTGGCCCTCGGCAGTGAGACTATCAAGTCCTAACCCTGGGCTTCCAAGGAATTCCTGTTATTTTACAATTTTCCATTCTCTCCATGGATAGATAGACAGACAGACAGAGAGATAGACAGATAGACACAGACAGATGATAAACAGATGGGTTCCCTGGTGGTGCAGATGGTGAAGAATCTGCCTGCAATGCAGGAGACCTGGGTTTGAGCCCTGGGTGGGGAAGATCTCCTAGAGAATGGAAAGGCAGCCCACTCCTGCATTCTCGCCTGGAGAATCCCATGGACAGAGGAGTCTGGTGGGCTACAGTCCATGGGGTCGCAAAGAGTCGGACACAACAGAGAGACTAACACACACACACACAGATAGATAGTTACATTGATAGATGACAGGTAGATTGACAGATGTGTATCCGAATGGAAAAGTGCATATTAAGTTATAATATGCAACATTCAAAACCATTTAACAAAAGTATACACGTATACAAACAATGATTTGTGGAAATAAAGTGTCATACTTTACACACTCTCTGTGAAGCTGGGTTTTTCCACGCTTGCATTTGTAGATTTTAAACTAGATGATTTCTTTTATCTGTTAAACCTTAATAGAGAAAGATTTTCAGAGAAAGCTCATTTATTGACAGGCAAAGAGAAACAGTTTTGACTTTAGAGCCACTCTCAGGCAGTACAAATGCATTCAATCTTCCATTTTGGCCAAATCACCATTTTTTCACAGTTCTTGCCTTCCACAATGTATTCTCGCAAAACGCTGTTGCTTCGCATTTCAGACTCAAAGGCGAAAAGGTGTAATTTTAGAAGCTGAAGGCCTGTATCCAATCCCACTATGGAACAACTGATGAGGGTGCCCAGACCATTATCTGATACATAAGAAGGAGTCACTCATTTGCCAGCCCTTGCCATCATGAATATTAAGATTTATTAGGAAAGACCATAAAACACTAGGGACTTCCCTGGTGGTCAAATGGCTGAGACTCTGCACTCCCAATGCAGGGGGCCAGGATTCGATTCCAGGTCAGGGAATTAGATGCAGTATGCCACAACTAAGAGTTCACAAGCTGCAACTAAAAAAAAAGATTCCCACGTGTTCCAAAGAAGATGAAAGATCTCTGGTGCTGCAAGTAAGACCCTGAAATAAATAAATAAAAGTTAAAAAAAACCACTTTTTAAAAAGACTATATAGTGATGATACTACCACAGAGGAAGATATTTTAAAGATACAAATTGTCACTGAAAAGGGGGAGACGGATTCAAATGCAACTGAAATTCCATCATTTCTATCCAATAAAGATGCTTCACCTGTCCAAAACAACTCTGAACTAGAAGCAGAATTATGAGGTATTTATAAGCAGAAACATTTTAATATTATGCAGAAGGGAATGCACGTTGAGGCGTATGTTAAGGCATAAAGGAATCAAGCCGATTTTTTTAGAGTCAGACATGACTGAGTGAACTGAGCTGAGATTTTTTTTAAAAAGAAAAGAATCACTAGGAAAAAAATGCTAAGGCATTAACAGACATTTCAGAGAAAGAAAGAAAAAAAAACCTGGCGAGATAATATATGAAAAACTTACTGCTCTCTATAGGAAGGAGGAATTGAAGACAAAAACTGTAGTAAGACAGGTGTTTCCACCAACAGACTGGAAAGAATTATACAGTCCTACGGAAGCAGGTGTTGGCGAGGACTGGAAACAGTGGGGTCAGAACACCTTGGGGATACACGGATTAGATTGTAAAGTGTGTTCTGTTTTCCTGAGACGTAGCACCTCCACTCCTGAGTATATGATGCAGGATGAGCTAATCACTTGAAAAATCCAGGGGAAGGGGCTTCCCTGCTGGTTCAGGGGCTAAGACTCCGTGCTCTCAGTGCAGAAGTCCCGGGTTTCCACCCCGTTAAGGGAATTAGATCCCACTGAAGACCCCGCGGGCTGCAGCTAAGCCCCAGGGCAGTCAAATAAACTAACAGGTTGAATATCAAAAGGACTTCCCAGGTGGCTGAGCCATAAAGAATCTGCCCACCAACGAGGACACCTGGACTTGGTCCCTGGGTCAGGAAGGTCCCCTGGAGGAGGACATGGCCACCCCCTCCAGTATTCTTGCCTGGAGAATCCCATGGGCAGAAAAGCCTGGCAGGCCACAGTCTAAGAGTTTGCAAAAAGAGTCGGATACGACTGAGTGAGCACACAAATATTAAAAAAAATAAAAATTTAACTGAGAGATCTGGAAAAGAACCCTCAACCCAGCTCATTTGAAAAATAATTTTTTTTTTTTAGGAAAAATAAAAGAATGAAGATGTTCAAACACAGGAGAACAGAAATCAGCCTTGCTCTGCTCCTGTTTTGGAATGTCATATGACGGTAAAGTTCATGTAACGCCAGTACCTACACGTATACTGTTCTTCCTGCACTAGTTGGAATCTAGTATTTTCACGCCTACTTGAAAAACAGCCTTGACTTCTGCTGAATACTATGTTACACTTGTTGGCTTCCTAGCAACTCACTGCTTAAGATCCTGACATTTAGTGAATACGATTCAGCTGAAGCAATAAGATATTTTAGACACTTTACCTGCTCAATATGGCTTATTCCATAATTGATGACATTTTTCAAATCCAGTAGAAGGAATTTTAAATATATCCTGCTGTTGGCATATTCAATAATTCATGCCTTCCCTAGAGCAAAAAAAAAAAAAAAATTTTTTTTTTAACCCCCTCTGGAATGCCACGTACCCTCAGAAGATTCCTTTCAGGGATGCTAGGAAATAATCCCTGAGGCTATGGGTTTCAGGATCACTAATTCACATTCTGAGGGTAACGTAATGTTGACGCTTGTCATCACCGTAGTGTGAGACCTTTGCGGAGGCCAGGTTTGCTCACGGGAAAATGAGCATAATAGGAGTCCTGTGAACAATAACAAGAAATTGCTCAAAACCCTCAGATGGTAAAGAAACTGCCTACAATGCAGGAGAGCCGGGTTTCATCCCTGGGCCAGGAAGATCCCCCGGAGGAGGGAACGGCAACCCGCTCCAGTATTCCCGCCTGGAGAACCCCACAGACAGAGGAGCCTGGTGGCCTACAGTCCACGGGGTCGCGAAAGGGACTAACACACACAGGTCAATCAAAGAGAATTAAATAAAAAGGCTGAGAAGCCCGTCAAGTTGAATTTAGATGACTCAGTAAATTTTTTTTCATATTTTATTAAAAAAGGAATATTATTAAGGGTTTCTCACAGTGACTATATCCTGAAACAACTGATAGAACTACAGTACATACAGTAACTGTGGTGACGTAATTCACTAATTAGCAGCCCAGCCTGCCCGCTGTATTCGTTAGCATTCTCCACAGAAACACAAACCATAATATGTGTGTAAGTAGACACACAGTCACACAGGCAGAGAGACACGGATAAAAGATAGATAGACAGAAAGGCATCGACAGAAGATATACAGACAGACACGGATAAAAGGTAGATAGTCAGACATAGATAAAAGATAGTTCAGTTCAGTCGCTCAGTCGTGCCCGACTCTCTCAGACCCCATGGACTGCAGCACGCCAGGCCTCTCTGTCCGTCACCAACTCCCGGAGTTTGCCCACACGCATGTCCATCGAGTCGGTGATGCCATCCAGCCATCTCATCCTCTGTCGTCCCCTTCTCCTCCTGCCCCCAATCCCTCCCAGCATCAGGGTCTTTTCCAATGAGTCAACTCTTCGCATGAGGTGGCCAAAGTATTGGAGTTTCAGCTTCAGCATCAGTCCTTCCAATGAACACCCAGGACTGATCTCCTTTAGGATGGACTGGTTGGATCTCCTTGCAGTCCAAGGGACTCTCAAGAGTCTTCTCCAACACCATAGTTCAAAAGCATCCATTCTTCAGCACTCAGCTTTCTTTCTGACAATACAAGGCCCACTGAAGGAGGGAATGGGAAATCACTTTGGTATTCTTGCCTTGAGAACCCCATGAACAGTATGAAAAGATAGATAGAACGTAGATAAAAGATAGATAGACAGACATAGATAGAAGACAGGTGTGTGTCAGTCATTCAGTCCTGTCCAAATCTTTGTGACCCCATGGACTGTAGCCCACCAGGCTCCTCCGTCCATGGCATTTTCCAGGCAAGACTAACTGGAGTGGGTTGTCATTTCCCCCTCCAGGGGATCTTCCCAATCCAGGGATTGAACCCAGGTCTCCTGCCTGGCAGGCAGACACTTTACTATCTGAGCCACCTTCAAAGCCCTAAAAAGGCCATTAATCTTGCAAACAACTCCTGGAACAGACGGCCTCAGGCAGAGGCTGTATTTCTTTCTTGCTTCATCCACAGGTGGACAGAACTCTGAACAAAGGTGCCTTAGTTTAACAGTCAGGCCTAAGGGAATGGTTCCCCGAGGCGGGCCATTATGTATGGCTATAAAACAAAAGCTCATGAAAAGCAAGGCAAAGAAACAGTTCCAACCGGGAGTCGAATTGGCTTCTCCCTGCAACAAGTACTAATTACCTATAACAAATGTCAACAGAATACCGAGGACGAAGTCGTCTCTAGAGCAAATTTAAACAATCTCAGGAGAAAATCTGCAAAGAGCAAGGACAGGAAACCAGTCCATCCTAGAGGAAAGCAAGCCTGAATAGCTGCAATGCTCTGGCCACCTGATGAGAAGACCTGACTCATTGGAAAAGACCCTGATGCTGGGAAAGATTGAGGGCTGGAGGAGAAGGAGGCGACAGAGGATCAGATGGTTGGATGGCATCACCGACTTGATGGACAGGAGTTTGAGCAAGCTCCTGGAGATGGTGATGGACAGGGAAGCCTGGCGTGCTGCGGTCCTTGGTGGGGGTTGGGGGTTGGGGGAGTGACTGAAAGACAATCTTCCATCACCTCATTAGCATAAACTCAAGAGCATAACCCCAGGTTGCTTTTGAATTACAAAGAAACTCCGCTCTCTCAGGAAATTCCAAGGGTTTTAGGAGCTCCCTGCTAGAGGGTTGACTGTCTTTTTGGATATAAAGATATATTAAGTCGTCATTAAAACACTGCAAAAAAAAAAAAATAATAATTCAGAAAATAAACCAAGGGAACAGGATGAGGCAGTCAGACCGTTTTATACGAAAAATGCCCGCTCAGTCATGTCTGACTCTTTGCAACCCCATGGACTGTAGCCCGCCAGGCTCCTCCGTCCATGGGGATTCTCCGGGCCAGAATCCAGGAGTGACTGAAAGACAATCTTCCATCACCTCATTAGCATAAACTCAAGAGCATAACCCCAGGTTGCTTTTGAATTACAAAGAAACTCCGCTCTCAGGAAATTCCAAGGGTTTAAGGAGCTCCCTGCTAGAGGGTTAACTGTCTTTTTGGATATAAAGATATATTAAGTTGTCATTAAAACACTGCAAAAAAAAAAAAAAAAATTCAGAAAATAAACCAAGGGAACAGGATGAGGCGGTCAGACCGTTTTATACGAAAAATGACCGCTCAGTCATGTGTGACTCTTTGCAACCCCATGGACTGTAGCCCGCCAGGCTCCTCCGTCCATGGGGATTCTCCGGGCCAGAATCCTGGAGCGGGTTGTCATTTCCTTCTGCAGGCGATCTTTCTGACTCCTGCGCTGGCAGGAAGATTCTTGACCGCTGAGCCCCCTGGTATTGAGAAAACGTACACGGATAAAGCAGCTGGAGCTGCAATATTCGGTAAGACCCTCGCCAGCCACAGACGCCAATTCAAATGTAAAGCGAGTAAAAGCAAAGTTTAAATTCCGTTTCTCCGTGAGACCACCCCCATCTGAACGCTCACAGCCAACTGCGGCATCCCGCCGCGTCCGGCTGCAGCAAACGTAACTTCCCCGTCATCCCAGAAGGTGGCGCTGCTGGTAAAGAATCCACCTGCAGAAGCAGGAGACCCAGAGACCGGGGTTTGATCCCCGGGTGCGGAAGATCCCCTGGAGAAAGAAAGGCAACCCATTCCAGTGTTCTTGCCTGGAGAATCCCCATGAACGGAGGAGCCTGGAGGGCTGCAGTCCATGGGGTTGCAGAGTCAGACATCACCAATTCCAGGAGCTTGTTCAAACAAAAATAATATTATAGCACATTTTTTCACGAGCTCGCTGTCAAGTCAGATTTCAAAGCAACACACAGGAATTCCTAAGTATTAGGAAAGTGTTGGTGGACTGAGCACATTACGTTTCAGAACAGCTGCTCACCCAGCGTGTCTCTGATGGAGCAGGACTCCATGGTCCTTGCCCGACCATGTCCTCTGCCTGCCTTTTCTGTCTGTGGGAAAACTGTAGCCAAAGAATAAACGTAATCAGAGAAGTGTGAACGTGCAGAAGCAAAGGTAAACAGTCAAAGGCAACCAAATCATCATAGTGCACTCACTCAGGCTATGGTTTTTCCAGGAGTCATGTATGGATGTGAGCGCTGGACTATAAAGAAAGCTGAGCGCCGAAGAATGGATGCTTTTAAACTGTGGTGCTGGAGAAGATTCTTGAGAGTCCCTTGGACTGCAAGGAGATCCCACCAGTCCATCCTAAACAAAATCATTCCTGAATGTTCATTGGAAGGACTGATGTTGAAGCTGAAACTCCAATCCTTTGGCTACCTGATGCAAAGAGCTGACTCATTGTAAAAGACCCTGATGCTGGAAAGATTGAAGGTGGGAGGAGAAGGGGATGACAGATGATGAGATGGTTGGATGGCATCACCGACTTGATGGACATGAGTTTGGATAAACTCCAGGCGTTGGTGATGGACAGGGAGGCCTGGGGTGCTGCAGCCCATGGGGTCGCAAAGAGTCGGACACGACTGAGCGACTGAACTGACCTGAGCTCACTGAGAAAAGTCAAGGGCTTCTAGTTCCTTCTCGGAGGCTATAGAATATTCTGGGCCATGTCCTCTGAGTGGTCTTACAGATACTGGAAGCCCTACTAAGTGGAGAAGTTAACTACGTGAATATCAGACTGGAGCCATGACATAAGTTGCCACAGGTCCAAGAACAAGCCTCAAGAAATGGGGACAAATGGAACCTGGAAATATTTCCAGGTCTACCTAAAAAACTGAGATGGTGCTGGTCAGACCACTGATGACCAATTTCAAGTTGACTGCCAGAGCTGACTGTGCTGTTTCTATACGGAGCCCCCAACCTCTGTCTATAAAGGCTCTTGCCTGCTGAGTTTCGGGGGTTGGCAGGGGAGTTACTTTTGGACACCCTACCCCCCATCATCCCTAAAAGTGAAGTGTTAGTTGATCAGTCGTGTCTGAGTCTTTGCAACCCTATGGTCTGTTCATGGAATTCTCTAAGGCTTGAACTGGAGTGGGGTGCCATTCCCTTCTCCAAGGGATCTTCCCGACCCAGGGATCAAACCAGGGTCTCCTGCATTGCGGGCAGATTCTTCACCATCTGAGTTACCAGGGAAACGCTGTCCCATTGCCAGCATCCACAATAAAGCAAGCCTTTGTTTCCCACATCCTGGCCTCTTTACTGGCTTCTGAGTGGCAAACAGCCAGACTCCTTTTTTCGGTAACATAGCTGAAAAAGGCAGAAAGCACAGTCAGGCCATCACAGTAAGGAATTTGCAGCATATGTAACCATAAAGAGCTTATAAAGATCAGCTCAGAACCAAGAAGGATAAAGGTACCGGAATGGGAGAAACATCAAAGCCTTCAGGAGGAACCTCACATAAAGAGAACATAGTGTCTAAATAACCAATAAAAATGATGGCCAACTTCACTGTGCCTGGGAGAAGGTGAATTATACCAGCCAAGACGCACACCAGCGCGTGTGCATGCTCAGTCCTGTCCGACTCTTTGCGACCACATGGACTGTGGCCCTGCAGGATCCTCTGTTCGTGGGATTCTCCGGGCAGGAATAGTGGGGTGGGCTGCCATTCCCTTCTCCAGGGAAGCTTCTCGACCCAGGGATCGAACCCACATCTCTTACATCTCTGGCGGTGGCAGGCAGATCCTTTACCATCTGAGTCGCCGCAGAGTGCAAGGTCCAGGAAACCAAAGCTTTTTTGTTTTCTAGAAAACAGGGAACACGGAGGGGGTTTCATACTACGGAGGTTCCCCACAGGTCCTACGTGGCTTCCGTCTCCCCTTTTCTTCAATACCCCTCAATCTTGAGGGGACCACAGCTAAGTCAAAGAGGGAACAGAGTTTTTCTCATAGACTAATCACAAACTGGGCAAGGGAATTCAGTCTTAGGGGGACTTGGTTTCAATTCTTCCTGTGACCCCGAGTGTAAATATTTCCACATTACATTCGTCTCTGGATTGTCACTGGGAGACACGCAGATCACATAAGCATTGGAGATGGATACGAACATTAATTCTGGTCCATTAAACAAAACAAAACAAAACAAAACAAAACAAAACACATCTGTAAACAGACCTTCCCAATCATTTTCCTGCATCCCTCAACCCTTCTACAAAAATATTCACATTGTATGACCCTTCCTCCCCACCTGTGTATTTATTTATTTTTTTGCCTGTTTTTCCAGGTATTAGTTATATAAGCTTTGAACTGAGGGTCAGTGTTGAGCTCTACATGGCAATGAAAAATTTATTGCTGTAAGATCTTTTCTTTATTTTTTGGATTCCCAGTCAGGTTGAATTTTATGTACCTTAATCGGTCGTTTGCATCATGTTATTTTGTGAATTTTTTGAGGCTGTGCTGGCTCTTTGCTGTAGTGCGGGGGTTTCTCTGGTTGAGATGCATGATAGTTGCTCTGCATTCTCTGGGATCTTGGTTCCCTGACCAAGCATCAAACTCACATCCCCTGCATTGAAAGGCGGATTCTTTTACTACTGGACCACTAGGGGCATCTTGCTACAAAATCCTGGACTCCCTGGGTGGTCCAGTGGTTAGGACTCTGCACATTCACTGCAGGGGGCAAAAATTCAATCCCTCGTCAGGGAGCTAAGATTCTGCAAGCCAAACATGGTGGCTAAAAACAAACAAACAACAACCACCACAGAAAACAATGATCTTGAGCATATTTCTAGATATCAGTATGGATCAGCTTCCTCATTCTTACAGCATAGCTAAAGAAAATAATCTCTAAGGCATAGTTCTTCAGCTTTAAAGTGTTATGCTTTCAATTAAATATATATGGCCATAATTGTGTTTAAAAAAAAAAAAGAAGATTCCAATATTCCCTAGATATTTGTCTATAAGGTCATTTATATTTTCAAGCAACAGCCACAAATCAATGACATTATGTCCAAGCCTAAAGTGTTACGATTGAGCCTCACCCCACCACTCTGCCCTGCCCCAATTGTCATAGCAGCAACGGCTGGTACTGACTGGAAGGCTTAATCCAGCTCTGAGAGATGGAGTAAAAATATTACGCAGCTGGATCACAGGAAGGGGAGGTGTCTGATGGGACAAAACGAAATGGCTGATGTTGTCTGCTTGAAAACATCCACCGAGTGTCCTGCTAAGCCGCTGTCCCAAGCAGAGACGCACTGGTTTTGCATTTTAAACGGACCCACTGTCCTCACAAAGTCAGTGAAATGCAACCACAGGGACCTTGTTTGTGGGGCTTCAGGAGCTAATTAAAAAGAAGCCTCAAGATGCTTCCTAAACACACCAAGCATTTCGGACATGTTCCTGGGAGGGTTATTCATCCACTCTCTCACTAGGAAAAACGCATTGGTAGTTTTCCCACGGAGGGCTTGCTAATTAAAACTCCTGATTCCACCAGGGAAGGCAGGTCCGTGCTTCCTGGCTGAATGTCTGGCGAATCGGTTTGCACTTGACAGTAAGTACGAAGCTATTCAATAAAGAGGAAATTCTCTCACAAGTTTGGGATGAATCAAAGACAACGGCTCCATTCATTGAGACTTTATCGTCTCAGCCCTTGAACACACGTAAGACCAGAGAGCCAAGGAGAAACTGAAGGGGTCCTGGATACGAGGAACAGGGCAGATATTCTGCAGTCTCTTTGGAAGCTTTGACAAGAGGGTGCGGACATCCGGTTGTGGGTTTCTCAGGACCCGGGATCCTTGGAGATTGGCTGGGTACCCCAGTGGTTACTCCTTTCATTACATCTGTATGTTTGTGTCAACATTATATCACCATGGAAAAGAATAAAGCTCTGATAACATGTTGCAACATAGATGAGCCTTGGAAAGATGAAGCCAGGTGCAGAAAAGGCCACATGGTGTATGATCCCACTTGGAGACGACCTCCAGAACAGGTGAATTCGTAGAGGTGGAACGCTGATTCATGAGCCTGGGGGGCATTGGGCAGGAAGACTGGGCATGCCTTTTGGGGTAACAAAGAATTTCTGGAACTAGATGGAGATGATGCTTGCTCAATATGGTGAATGCACTAAATTCTACTGCCTTGTACTATTTCAGATAATTAACATGGTGAAGTTGATATTATGTGTATGATGTCACTATTATAGCATATATATATATTAATATATTTGCAGATACATATGATGGATGGATAGGTAGGTGGGTAGAGATATAGATAGATGTGGACAAATGATAAGTAGACAGTTGATAGATATATAGATAGACAAATGATATAGATAGATGGATCAATGGATGGATAGATACATGCTTTGTTGTTAAGTTGATAAGTCGTGTCTGATTCTTTTGTGACCCCATGGACTGTAACTCACTAGGCTCCTCTGTGCATGGGATTCTTCAGGCAAAAATACTGGAGTGGGTTGTCATTCCCTTCTCCAGGAGATCTTCCCAACTTAGGGGTCGAACCCACATCTCCTGGATTGGCAGGCGGATTCTTTACAACTGAGCCACCAGGAAGCCCAGATACATAGATAGATAGGCAGACAGACAGACAGACCGATAGAAATGACAGATAGATCAATGCATGGATGGGTGAATAGATAGGTAAACAGATGGATCAATGGGTAGACAGATACATAGATAGATGAATAGATATGATAGAGCAATGATTGTGTGTTTGAACACAATTTGATCTATTGAGTACATCAATAGAGATAATAGATAGATGCTTGGATAGACAGATACAGATGATAGACAGATAGACAGCTCACTCCTTATGAGAAAGAAATAGGAGGTCTTCACGCAGATGGCAGGAATGACCATTGGATGATATTTAATTTTAAAAAATACAGAAGGTGTTCCCAAGGGGATCCCCAGACAATAGAGGGTCATGGTTTTTTTTTTTTTTTTTTGTGCCATCAATATTCTCCTTGTGCGAAATGGCACTTGTCCTGAATGCAAGACTTGCCTGTCAAGGGTAGATTCAACTTTTCACTTATCAGTGAAATAATCTCCCTCAGAATAATATGTTTAAGACCAAGCACCTGGCTTTTCCTTTGATATCTACATCTCCCCGCAGTCTCCAAATCAGTAAATCTCACATTTGCTCCAGGATGGTTTTATTTCTGACTAAATCCATGGGGCTTCCAACATTGCCCAAGCAGGAGTTCA